GATGGGCAGGAAGGTTTTAATTTTATTTTTTAGTGTTTGAGCCGCAGCTGCAGTGGAAGGGGCCCGGCGGCCGGGTAATCCTGACAGAAGTTGACGAGGGGGACACCACTGGGCTGGCTAAAGAGCCTAGGACTAGGGGTGTCAAATATAATTATGATATCATACCGTATATTTGCGCTTTCAATAACATACAATACCATTCTCGAGTACCGGTAGTTGTACTCGGGTACAAGGGTATTTCGGGTCCGGTTACACAAGACTTCTCTCTGTTCTCTATATCAATATTCCCCCTTTTGAGAAGCTAGGTAAGAAGTTCACAACCACTAGATTTTTTCTATAGTAATATACAAATATAGGGAAAAATTATGCAGCAAAAGGGAACACGGGAGCAAAATCCACAGGGTGTATGACATTGTGAAACTATATAAGATAAGCATATAAAGGATTTAGCCCTTTATGATAATACCAACTAATATTGGATAAAAATTAGACAACAACTTAATATCAATTGACAAACTTGAACCTGCTAATACATAATTAATAACTGTATTCCTGATATTAGTAAATTGTTAGGATCTAATAGTATTATTTACAGATTTATAAATAAGTCAAAGAAAATAGTATATCTTTAAATGACTACTAGTCCAGCCACCTACCCAAATTCAATAAGAAGGAATAGCAGTGATTGAAGGCCTTTATAACATGCAATATGAGAACACGAAGGCTAAGTTGGGATACTGTCTGTTTAGAGATATGCTATACTTATAATCTATACTATTAAAATTATTACAGAATCAATAGACTACTATCAATGGGTTTCTTAACAAAAATTTACCATTCAACCAGTCAACTATCTACTCTATCTCACCCAGTGTCACAAATATCTAAACTGTATATATAGTTCAAGCCATTCAAAACATGTACCAGATTTTTATTTATTTTCAAATCCTTAAGGCTTTACCATAATCAACTCAAACACAAAAAGAAAACCTATTTTGGAAAGAGAATATGAAGCACAATAAGAAAGGAGTTTT